GGAACAAAAAGTGTCCTGGAGATGGAGTCAGATGAACGGATAAACACTGTGCTAATGGATAAATCCTAGCACAGTGTTTACCACTGAGTGCACTCATTGAAGTATATGGTATCCCCAGTGCCTGGAATGTACCCAACACATATTTGATGCTGGCTGGGTTGAATGAATGTGCTAAAGAAAGGGGGAAAAAGTGTTTAGAAAATTTGTAAAAGAACCAAGTTAGTGAAGTATCTAGTAAATGATACAAATACATAGAGGGGTAGCAATTTAATGATATAGTTAAGAGCAAAATCATTAAAGTCGGAAGCTTCTAGGTTCAAATCCTAACTGTATTTACCAACGGTGACTTTAGGAGAGGTATTTAACTTCTCTAAGTATTACTTACTTCTGTAAATATTAGGAAAATAAACACAATATTGTGAGCATTAAGTAAGGCAACAATTACTTAATTAATGTCTCTCTTTACAGCTGTAAGTCCACTTCTTTTTTTTTTTTTTTTTTTGAGACGGAGTCTTGCTCTGTCACCCAGGCTGGAGTGCAGTGGCCGGATCTCAGCTCACTGCAAGCTCCGCCTCCCGGGTTCACGCCATTCTCCTGCCTCAGCCTCCCGAGTAGCTGGGACTACAGGCGCCCGCCACGGCGCCCGGCTAGTTTTTTGTATTTTTTAGTAGAGACGGGGTTTGGTTTATGACCTTATTTTAGAGCATAGAAAAATGCTATATATTAATTCTGTAAATATTTGGTGAATGAGTGATAACACATTAAATACTTAATATTGTGTTTATATATGATAAGCCTATATTAATATTAACCCATTGTTATTTTGAATTTTATTCTATCTCAGGAAGGACAATATTGTTATAATCAGCTAATTCCCCATCGATTGCACCCGCTATCTGTTATGAAAACAAACAATCCAATTAGAAACCGTGTACTTAATGTAGTACAATTTATTAATGGTCCACTTCTTGATGGATATTCATGGGGTCATAGACTCTAACTGTGTCATAAGCAATTTTCATGCTGGTATTTGAAAGGGTCAATTATTGGTTCAAATGACATTTCTTTCAACAGGGCACATTTCCGTGGATGACCGAACACATGAATGTATTCAAAATAGAATTAGCACCACATCTTGGTTGTCTCCATTATGAAAAGTGCATGAAGGCAGACATAGAAATTTCTTTTCTAATGTATGTGTGGCTCTGGTTTCCATGGTCATTAAAAAAATTGAGAGCAAACAGCCCATTCCAGAATGATAATTAGAAAATGGGCTGCTTGTGATTAATAGCTGGTGTATTCTGAGGCCTCAAGTACTTGGAAAATCTTGCCTCTAGCTTTGTAATTATTTATTAGCTATTAAATAATCAGGCCAGAGGTAGAGCTTAGAGGCTTTGTGAATCCACTATACTCTTACCGAGGGCACAAACACAAAAAAGTTAAGTGTTATGTTTTATTTGACAAAGTAGCACAACCATTTTCAGAGAAATCAAAATACTAGCATTTTATTCATTTTGTAAGTTAACTGTTTGTGGGTCAGTGCTCCAAGTTGGGCCAAAATGGCAAATTCCATCATTCCAGCAGTTTCTGATATAGCATTTGCTGATGCATACATGTTTTAGAAGTCGGCCTGCCCCACTGGTTGAGCGGTGTTGGACAGAGAAGATGCAGAATGCTGGTTGCATAGATCCAAATGCTGTCATTTGAGGGCTGACAGAAGAACTCAGTGAAAATCTCAACCTCTCTCTTTTTTCTCCCTCATCTGTTCTTCTCAGATTGGCTTAAGCACTAGAAATTCCCACTTTATGCACATCTTGACTTTAAGATGTTGAAATCTCCTACTAAAATGCAAGTGCATTATCTTCCATGAGGAACTGAGTTTATTTAAACCAGAAATTAATTATTTAATTACTGATAACACCATTGAATCTACTTTTAAGTCACAAACTTTGGGATCAGAAAGATCTGAGTTCAGGTTTTAATTTTGCTACTTTTGAATTGGGCACATTATCCAGAGACTCACATTTTGCAGTGACAAAACTACTGAAATTTAGTTTTTCCTGAAAGAGGAAACCAAAGTCTTTACTGAGTGATCAAAGATTCTTTTGATTATTGATTCCAAAAGCCATTCATGCTTCACAGCAGGAAACATACATTTTGAGAGTCCTGAAAATTTTAAAAGAAGATTAACTTCAGCAGCCTCTGGAAGAATTAGCTCCATGAAATTCTGTATTCATGTGATACTCTTGGTTTTTCTAGAAGGTTACTACGTACTAAAGCTAGCTGTTAGATTGATTTAGGAAAATTCTGTCTTCCATGTCATTTCCTGTCTTGTATAAGAGGAATCCACTTAAAAAAAAACTTACCAAAATTCAATACAAGAAACATTTGTTTCTACTGAAGAACTGGTATGCTTATTTTTTCCTGATGTTGAAAAAAATGTAACTTGCTTTTCGTTTGGCTGCCAGGGATCTTAGAGACACAGTTAAAAATAAATTCCACAAATTATATAGCCCTTTATGACCAAGATTTCTGTGCTCTTCTTCATTTGATCTTAATATTTCTCATCTTATTTTTATTTATTACCTTCTTTCAATTACTTGTTTCTATTTATAATGATTGTATTTTGTGAATTCTAGTTGTAAACTGCTTTAAATTCTTTATGCAATGAGAGAAAGCAATATATAAATACAGTGACAAATATAGTAAAGGGATATTTCGTCTGGTGTATGACCATTTAAAAAAAATGAATCTTATAATGCTTATAGGAGGTGGTGGATGATGGAATTGTCAAACAAGGTGTACCAGTTATCCATTGCCAGGTGACAAACCACTTCAATAGGTGGTAGCTTAAAGTAACAAATGTTGTATTATTGCTCATCAGTCTGTGCATTAACCACACAGTTCTGCAGGCAGTTGGTGGATCACCTAATGTTAATTGGTCTAGGATGATCTCCTTCATGTGCCTGGCAGTCATCAGGCTGGTGGGCTATTGGGTCTCAACTGGGGCAACTTGTTTCTGCTTCATTAATTCTCTCCTCCTCTAGGAGACTAGTTTGAGCTTCTTCAGAGGTGGTGTCAGAACAGCAAAAGAAGATAACTGACATTGAGCATCCATTTTTCTTGCCTCTACCCATGTCATGTTTTCTAACATCCCCTTGACCAAAGCTAATGACATAGCTGAGGTTAGATTTAAGGGGTAGAGACCTAGATTCCACTTCTTTATGAAAAGAATGGCAACGTCACATTGCAAAGGGACATCAGCATAGAGATGAAAATATTTTGCAGCCAATTATAATCAACTCCCCAAAGTAAAAGACTAATATATCTTCAATTAAAAAAAAAAAAAAAAAAACAGATGGGAATCAGGTACCATTGTTTATTGAGCACCTACTATGTACAAGGTGGTATTTGTAGAACATTCTGTTTAGAGGAAAGAGCTTGTTTTAACTACAGAATTTGAGAGTCAATGACAGAGCATTTTCCATGACATTGTCTGGGCAGGATTCCATGTATCTGCTTTATAAATTCATCAATTCCAGTTCTCTCTCCTCTGTTTCAAGATAGGTCTTGGCATCTGGGCAACTGAAAGTTGCTGGAAGATTAAATAGTTGGGGTAGCAGACTGTGAAATTTTCAGGATACTATAGATAAGAGAAATCTCTTATGATTTCAGGAAGTTGCAGCTATGGTTTTGCTTTGTGAATGATTAAAGGATCTGCCAGTATAAGGATGTGGGAAACTAAAATTCGCCATGAACGGTTAATGGCCTTTTCCTCCTTTGTATGTTAAGGATTGAGGAATTATAGATCTCAGAATTGAAAAGAATGTTGAAAGGTCATAGAGATATGCCTTCTTGCCTTATTTGATTTCTGAATCTCCCACTTAAGTACCTGTTTCGTCTATGTGGGCAGCATGCCCAGTTCTACTTCTTGACTCACCTGTATTTCCTTAGCTTTGAAATTGTGTCTACTGCCACTGCTTCCAGATCATTTTGAAAGCCCTCATCTTTATGGAATTGGATGGGCCTGGGAACTCTGCTAATAAAGTCTTAGAGAATGAGGGGAAAGGAGGGGAAGATGGCTAATCTATCCCTCTATTATTAGGTCAGCCGAGGAGAATGTCAGATTTAGACACAACATTTACTGAACACTTATTCTGTGCCAAAAACTATGCCAGATGATTCCACAAATTTTCTTATTTAATCCTAAGGAATCTCTGGCCAAGATCAAGTGGAAATTCCAGAGACTCAGATTGTCACTCTTAGGCTGCAATATAAGAAAATAATTTTTTAAAAAAATACATTTTAAAAATTAACTGTACCCAACATTTCACATTTTAAAACTATTAAAAATATAACTGTTTAATCTTTAGACATCTTGCATTTATTCTTTTGTGGTGGTGTGGGGAGGTCCTCTATTGTACCATAGGGTGAAGAGGAAAGATGTAAGTGAGGTATAAACTGTGATAGCTGTGAATTGGGCTTCTTTAGGCTGCATTCAATATGCATGAACAAAATCTTAACTAGGTTGTTCATTCAGACATGGAATCCTTGATGGATGAATATTCAAAATTCATTGACGGGTTTCATACCATCTTTCAAAGATAAGTGCCAAGTCCTTCTCTTAATTATACTCTGAACAAAATAAGATATGTAGAAGAAGAGAATGCACTTTGAATTTATACTCATTCTCATCCCTTCTTCTAATTACACAAAGCATCTTTTATATAGGAAATGCAGACACAATTTTCTGCTTGAGAATGAGGGCAAATTTTCTTTTGCAAGTTAGTGACACCGTCCTTATGTTGTTAGGTAGAGACAAAATGACATTGTATAACAATGCATTTCTTTACTCCATTACTGAGAAGTTCTAAGTCTCATATCAGCTTCAAAAACTTAATAAGGAGTTATGTTCATTTGTAGAGGCCTCATGAGTTAGAGAGAGAGTTCAGATGTTGGCAAACGGGATAAACATGAGTCAGAAAATAGGAGAGACTTCATAAGGGTTGAGAAGCATAAGAAAGTACTCTCAATAGGCCATTCATCAGCTGATGGAGTTGAGGATCAGTGGCTGTCTAGTTCTTGTAACCATTCATCGCTGCTCTGGTAGTGGATGCTCTTAACAGAAGACTAAGTTTCTGGGAGTCCTAGGGGAAAGAGTGGGGAATGTAAACCAAATGTTAGAGAATCTGGACTAGAGCACCTATAGCAAGTAAGAAAGACATATACAAATAAATAAATGAAACAACCTGACACAGAAAACCAAAGGGAAACACAAATAAATAGATATTTGGAAAGGGACAAGGAACATGAAAAGTACTGAAGCAAATTAAGGTTACTATCTGACCCAGGCACCGGAGTATGTCTGTCCACACTTAGGACCACAGCTACGTGGAAGGGGAAGGGAGGAGGGATCCTGACATGATGCAAGTCACCTTTAACATATTATCAAGCAGCTAATCTTAACCAAAAATAACTGAAGAAGAAAGAAGAAAGAAGAAAGAAAGAAAGAAGAAGAAAATGAAGAAGAAGAAGAAGAGGAGGAGGAGAAGGAGGAGGAAAAGGAGGAAGAGGAGGAGGAGGAGGAGAAGGAAGAGGAGAAAAAGGAAAATACAAACAGTAAACTGAGAAGCAAGGCCAAGAACCCAGAAGGGTATTTTAGTAGGTTTTAAATGGACAGCAGAGTAGATTAAAAAACAAACAGGAAAAATGATGAGAGTTTCTGATCAGGGCAGTTAGAGAGAGTGTTGGGGGCTATCAAAGGCCAGTGTGGGAACAAGGCTCATTGTAATAGCTAATAGATTTTTGAGGGAGACCTTAATTTCTTTTTTTTTTTTTTAATTAAAACCGGTGCTTGTAGAGACATTCCATTCAGCAACCTGTGTTCTATTCCTGCAGATCCTGTAGTTGCTGAACAAGTCACAGGAAAGTAAACATAGACACAAAAATAAAAATTATTCTAAACTTGACTTCACTCTTCCTTCCAATAGTCCTCCCATCTATACTTAGCTTTTATTCTTTGCATTTTCTTCTTAAAATCAATGACAAACAGAGGAAGAAATTCTTGAAGAAAGCTCAACCTCTTTGATGATTAGAGAAATGCAAATCAAAACCACAATGAAATACCATCTCACACCGGTCAGAATGGCTATTTTTTAAAAGTCAATAAAACAACAGATACTGGCAAGGTTGTGGAGAAAAAGGAACACTTTTACATTGTTGGTGGGGGTATAAATTAGTTCAACCATTGTGGAAGACAGTGTGGCAGTTCTTCAAAGACCTAGATGCAGAGATACCATTTGATCCAGCAATCTCATTACTGGGTATATACCCAAAGGAATATAAATCATTCTATTGTAAAGATACATGCATGCATATGTTCATTGCAGCATTATTCACAACAGCTAACAGTTATTGAGTACTTAATGCATGTTAGGTTCTGTCAAAAGGCATTTACACTTGGTTATTCCTTATGAATCTGCCTTGAGCCAGATACAATTATAAACCACCACTCACAGGCCAGGAAACTAATATGTAGTGAAAGTAAGTTGCCTGCCCAAGGTCATGTGGCTAGCAAGTGGCAGAGTGTGGCACACCTGGCTCCAGAGTCTGTGGGCTTCCCCATTCTGCTATGCTGCTTCTCTCACAGCTGCTTGTGATTGCCATGATGTTCATCTCTGCATGGCCCCATGACACAGGTGAGCCCAGGACATGTCCTTAAAACAACCGCATTGCATTAGACAGATGCAATGTGGTGCCTGATATTTTATAATCTGTTTGCTTGCTTTAAAGAAACTGTTCAAGCTAGTGTTGGATTTGTGAGTCCACTGTTCAGAACTGAAGGACGATTGTGGGGGGCATTTGGTTATTTTATCATTAATTTGTCTCATCTTTCATTTGGCTCCACTTTGAAATGATCATTAATAGATGTTGGTCCTTATCTTTAGAGTTCAAAATTCCATATACTATCACTGCTTTGAGGAGTTAACAGCCTGAAGAGAGGCATTTAAATAAACACTTAAGCAATTGTTTTAGGACTTCATTAATTGCTTCATAATAAGCATACTAGCTCAGATATCTATTTTGTTCATTACGTTTTAGCAAAACTTGTGAGAATGTGAGGCAGAGCTGTCACACTATAGGACCTACAGAAGAGGTGTAAGTTGGGAGTGGTGAGGCCAGGACTTAGGGAACCAACATGGAGTTAGATTGTCTACCTTCTTCCTCCAGAAAGGGTCAGCTAGCCAAAACTCCGTGTCCAAAGGATGCTAGGGTGTTCATAGTGTCCCTAGGGATTGGTCAGCATTTATGAATTCCTATCAAAGAGGTTGGAGTACTTGCACAGTTTTGGCACAAGGAAGTAAAGCATCCCATTTAAATGAATGCAGAGCCTAAGCCAATCAGCTGTGTAAAGGCACAGAGTCTACTCTTGTAGGTAAGAAATAGGTAGAGATTCAGGGATTCAGCCTGATAAGAAATGGCCAGCTAAAAACACACACCCAGATTTAAAAATCAGTGCTGGATATGGATTCTGGCTCTACTCTTTATTAGCAAACTACTTAACAACCTGAAGCCTCAGTTCCCACACCTCTAAAATGAGCATAAAAATGCTGATGTTGAAGATTCGTCATGAAATTTTAAAAAGATAATGTGCGTGAAGCAATTAGTTCCTGATACACAGAAGATGCCCATTAAGGTAGTTATTATTCTTTCTATGGGGATAGCGATCATGATGAGGATGGTGATCTTTATGCTCTAGGGCAGAGTACTTTAAAAAAAAATATGGTGTAAGCCAGGAATAGGAGTGGGATGGTAGTGGAGAGAGTGTGCGTAAACCCGGTTGTTCTGTTTGAGGATCCATGCAGGAGTTTAAGAGGAAGGTCAGCCTGGAAGACAGCCTGATGTTCAAATTCTGATTTCTGCACATGCAGCTCAGGGCAGCAGATAAATCCTAGCCTTTTATTTACCCACAATGTGAAGAATAGAGGACATCCCATGATAATATAATACTAGGGCTGGTTCTCATCAGTTCTGAAATGAAGAGGCATTGGCCACAGGTGGCTGGGCTTCAACACCCACATTTAGCTAGTGCAGGGCCAGAAGCAGGCAGGGACTAAAAGATTTGCTCACCCGCCTCTCCTGCTGTATGGTAGGTCCTGCACTAAAGAATATGTTGGCACTTAATAAGTAATGATGAGCAATGTCTCAGGTAGCATCTCTTGTGTGGCACTTTAAAATAACTTAGAGGACTTGCTGAGGGCTGTATGTTGATCTGAGACCATTGCTTGCAGCAGGCTTGTATATCTTACCACTTCTTTGGTTCACAAACAAAAAGTTATTCTTAAGGATGGATGACAGTGGTTAACATTGCTGTAAATAGGCATAGACTGTTATCAGAAAGATATTGTAGCAAAAGGAAAGACAGAGGATTTAGTAAAAATTCAGATATTTAATAAAATATTAGTACCATATTTTTTTTCAATGCTGAGAAACCCATGATTGTGAGATTCACTGTCAGTTTAAGAGCAGCTTATTCTAGAAGTAGCTGTTAATGAAGGAGTTGTTTACAACAATTTCAGAAGCAATAAAAGAAAAAAAGTTCATTTAGTATATTTAGTAGCTAATAATTTTTTAGCACTAACTATGTTCCAGGCAGCGTGCTAAGTACTTTACCTGGCTCATCTTATTTAATTATCACAACGCTGGGTAGCTACTATTATCCTTCCTGTTTTACAGATGAAGAAACAGAGGTTTGAAGTGTGTATTATTTAAAGTGATACTAAATACTGTAACAGCTAACTCTGAAATCTCAGTGGATTCTTCCAGTAGAAGTGTATGTATCATTCTCATAAAGCCCAATGCTAGGGAAAGAAGGTCTTGGTGGTGGCAGGGAGATGACCCACATAGTCATTCAGGAATCTAGGCTGAGAGAAGTTCTACCATCTTCAACACAAGGGTGCTGTGGTGGCCCTGGACATTGATATCCAGCTGGAAGATTGGGGAAGACAGCCCAGAGGATTATGTGGGATTTTATGGGTCCAGGATATGGAGTGGAATTTATCAATTCTGCCCACATTTTCTTGGCCAGAACTCATTCACATGGCCCTTTCTAGATTTAATAAAGGCTTGAAAATGCAGTCGCTGACTGTCCAGCTGCTTCCCGACAAAGGCTCTACCCTATGAAAGAAAAGGATACATCTTTGATGGACAGCAGCCATTCCTGTGGCACAATGGTTAAGTAGATTGTGAAAGGTCACACAATTGGCAAGTGACAGGGACAGAATCTAAAGCTATGTCTGTCTGACATCACAATCTACATTGTTAGTATTCTGTCTGCACTCGAGTGAGAATATTTGATACAGACAGAAGCAGTTTTTTTTTTTTTTTAGTTGCCTTTATTCTCAGCTACAACTAAGGAGCTCAGAAAGAAATGCTATGCCTTGCTGCCTCCTTCTTAAGAAGATACAATTGCCTGGATGATGCATTGTTTTTGCAGTGACTCACCCTGGATTGCTTTAGTTCAGTAAATTGCATCACATCGTGAAACCGAGTGACATCTTTGAAGCCAGAGCTCCGTACTTCTCAAAGTGACACATGAGGAATGAAAACTGAGCTTCATTTTCTGGAGAAGCTGAGAAAACAACTTAAATGTCAACAATAACACAAAGTTAAATAAAATTTCTATTAAGTTATATACCCTATACAATAAGTCTATCCCTAGTTAGTTAAGATTCAATGAATTGTATGCAGGTTGTTCCTCAGACTGATTCACCTGACTTTCTTGGAGTGAATTTTTCACAGTACTTTGGCAAGTGTGATGCTGGAAATAATGATATTATTTGGAAATAATGAATGTTTTCTCTGTACCAGAATCTTGCCTAATTGCTTCTCATGTATTACATCGTTTAATCTTTTATAAGCTATGGGAAAGGCTCTCTCTCAAAAAATACTGCATGAGAAAGGTATTATTATTATAATTTTCATTATGCAGATGAAGAAACTGAGGTCCATTACTGTACAGTAACTTGCCCCAGGTCATGAATTAGGTGGGAAAGCCGGGATGTGACCAGTTGGTGTGATTTTAGAGCCTGCACTGTTAGTACACTCTTCACTCAGGGCTCCTGCTGCTGGTGGATGGTGGACAATACGTAAAGTGAAGAGATGGGATAATTGGAGACCTAACATTTATAAAGAGTCTACTAGGTGCTAGGAATGTCATAAATGTAAACAGCTGCCCGGGTGTGCTCCGTGGTCTCATGTTCTAACTCTGCTTCAACATTATTTCCAAGGCTTTGCAAAATTTAGCCCTTAAACTTCCATGAGACATCAAATCAGCCGGTGAATTTATTTGCCTGGAAAAATGAATTACACTGCATTTGAAAAGCCTGCAGCATTTAAGACCTGTCTTGCCCACCCTGTCACCCTACCTCCCACCCTCTCTTATTTACAGTACTGGGTCTTCTGCTTGAACTCTGTAGACTATAACTTTATTGAGAGGCATCTTCTCAACATAACAGTCAGTCTTCTTCCTACATTGTAAGTCCATCTCTTACTAGCTGCTAAAAAGACAAGATTTTTTCCCATATGCTAACATATGTGTTACCTCATTCAATTTTTACTGTTCCTTAAGGATAATAATTAATATCTCCATTCTGTAGACAAGGGATTGTCAGTGAGGTTAAGAGCTTGCTTCTGGTAACACAGCTAGTTAAGTAGCCAAGTGGTAGCTTGAATCTCTATCTCTCTGACTTCAAATCCAGGGCTTTTAAAATTATATCATACCTTAAATATTTGAATCCAGGCTATGAGTTGACCTGAGAGCAGAATGAATATAATCTAAGGGCCAGATATGGTGGGGACTGGGCCAGATGCTCTAGAATCAAGCCCAAGAGGTCAGTTGAGAGCAAAGCAAGTCAAATGAGTAAAAGGGCATATTTGCCTCTAAGAAAATTTGCAACTAAGAAAGTCTGGAAGTCAGAAAAGGGTCAGGACGAGAGAGTTTCAGTAAGGCATAGGGAGAATCTCAGGAAAGAAGTTAGACAGGAATATCAAATGAGTCCAGCCATGAGAGGCTGGTCCCAGAAGCCAGTTTGAGTAGGACTGGCAGGTTGGGTTCTGAACCTGAGGGTCATCCCACAGTGGATTCTTGGAATCTTCTCAGAGGCCAGCTGTGATACTGCAAAACACTGTGAGGTCAGTTCTCTGTATAGCATGCTCCAGCCCTAGAGGACAGCAAATGTGCCTCTGTTCTTTGCCCTTTGGAAATTTTCCTCAAGTTCATGGATTTTTCTTCCTTAGTTTATACCCTTCCTTACAAATGATTTTTTCCCCTCATTTTATAGCATCTGATAATGCTAGACTTCTATAGTCATGCCATAATCATATTATGGGTAGATGTGCTCCCTCCAGTCCCAGTCAGGGTTTTTGCTTCACTGGCCCACCAAAACTGCTCTTTTCAGGATCAACCACAACCTCTCTATCAACAAACCCAGAGCCAATTCTCAATCTTCATAGAACTTGATCTCCCAGTGTTAATTGCCATAGCCAACTGTTACTTTCTTGAAACACTAGAATGCCTCCTTCCTTTGCGTTTTAGAACTCCATTCTTACCTGGTTCACATCCTACCACACTGACATCTTCTCGGTTTCTTTATTGGTTTCTTTTCTGTGACCTCTAATCACACCATCCTCAGAGCTATATCGTTGGAAGTCTTCTGTTCTCTAGTTAGAGAACAGAGTTGCTTAGTGATTTCATGTCTTCTCCTGACTGTGAATACAATTCTATACACAATTTACTATTTTACACTGGCAGCATTGACCTCTCCCCTGAACTCCAGTCTCAAATCCAATTTCCTCCTTTATATTCCCACCCTGATGCCCATCAGCCACATCAAATCTAAATGTCTGAAACCTTACTGATTTTCTCTACTCCTTCCTTCTAGTTTCTCAAGCTGAAAACCTTGGAATCACCCATGATGCCTCCCTTTCCTTCACACTCCAAATCCAAACTCTTAGCAAATTATTTATACTCTGACTTCAAATATATGCAGATCACTTTCTCACCATCTCCAGTATTGCCAGTCTGCTTCAAGCCAAAGCTACTTCACCTGGATTTCTGAAGAGGCTCCTAAGTAGTATCCTTGTTTCCATACTTTGCCTCCCATAGTCTCAATATAGAGCCAGAGTGCGCATTTTAAAACAAAAGCTAAATCATGCCACTCCTCTGTTCAAAACCCCCCAGTGTCTTCCTCCATCAAAGTAAACTCCAAGTACTTAAAGTGGCTCAGTTGTCTGACACAACCCGATTCTCTGTTATCTCTCTGCCCTCATCTCATCTCTTACTTCTCTTTTCCTCTACTGTAGCCACACTGACCTCCTTGCCTTTTCTGAAACACAGCAGCCATGCTCCACTTCAGGGTTTTGCACATGGAGTCCTGGAATGCATCCCACACAGGTATGGCTATCTCTCATTCTTCTGTTAGGTCTTTGTTCAATACTTTCTCAATGGTTCAGCTTCTAACCATGATCAAGTCTTTCCTTTCAGACCAATTCTACTGTAGATAATAAACACAATTATGAATGTGTAGATACACATGCTTCCTGAGGGCACTGGAAAGTGATCAAAAGCAGGTAGATGCTGGATGGAGTCAACATTTGGTAGAAAAAAGCACAGAGTGAATTTCTAGTTTTAGAAGTTTTCATCTGAGAGTGTGCTCCAGTCTGCTCTGAATACAGTAACTGAAACTCTGATATAAAGCCCATGGTCTTGCCATTTTGGAGCAATTACAGTCATTCTGAGGAATCCCAGGAAAACCACAGTAACAATGGCAACAGCAACAGCAGAAGCAGCAATAGAACCAGCAAAGAAAATGTCAAAATCCTGTGAATAAACTTTGTCAAAATCTCTTAACAGGGCCTGAAACGTGGAAGCAGGGGGCAGCTTCCAAGCAGCCCAGCTAAACCTAAAAGAAATACATTGAGATTTGAGTTGCGGTGGGGACAGAACTTAAATTTGCTTAGAGCCCCAGTGAACTTCCTGCTTAAAAACAAATCAATATTCTTGGCAGCAACATTTCAGAATCTCTACAATATATCATTCCTAATATCCAGGTTGTAATCCAAAATTATTGGACATATGAAGAAACAGGAAAATGTGACTTATTCTGAAATGGAAAGACAATTAATGGGGCTGACACCAAGATAACCCAGATGTTGAAATTTGTGGACAAGGGTTTTAAGTCAGCAATTGTAAGTATTCTCAAAGTTGGAAAAAATGTGTACATGAATAAAAAAACAGAAAATATAATCAGATAAATAGAAATTACTTTTTTGGCACAATTGTTGGCTTTATTCTACAATGTTTTATATATATGTGTGTGTGTGTGTGTATATATATATATACAATTTTATATATAATATATATATATATAAAATTTTATATATATATATATATATATATAAAATTATACTTGAAGTTCCAGGGTACATGTGCAGAACATGCAGGTTTGTTACATAGGTATACACATGCCGTGGTGGTTTGCTGCACCCATCAACTCGTCACCTACATTAGGTATTTCTCCTAATGCTCTTCCTCCCCTAAGCCCCCCACCCCGCAACAGGCCCCAGTGTGTGACATTCCCCTCCCTGTGTCCATGTGTTCTCCTTCGACTCCCACTTATGAGTGAGAACATGTGGTGTTTGGCTTTCTGTTCTTGTGATAGTTTGCTGAAAATGATGGTTTCCAACTTCATCCATTTCCCTGCAAAGGACAGGAACTCATCCTTTTTTAGGGCTGCATAGTATTCCATGGTGTACATGTGCCACATTTTCTTTATCCAGTTTTCTTGATGGATATTTGGGTTGGTTCCAAGTCTTTGCTATTGTGAATAATCCCACAATAAACATACATGTGCATGTGTCTTCACAGTAGAAGAATTTATGATACTTTGGGTGTATACCCAGAAATTACTTTTTAAAACACATACACTAAAACTAGAATTCTAGAATGCAAAAGTACAGTCTCTGAAATTTTAAACATTGACTGGATGTACTTCACAGAATAGTAAAAATGGCAGATGTGTCAAAGAACTTAAGAAAAAATAATTGAAGTGATTTAATCTGAAGAACAGAGAGGAAATGATTTTTAAAATATACAACATATGTGTAATTGCAGTCTCAGAAATAGAAGAGACAATGAATGGTGCAAGTGTGGAGCCCTCATGAATGTGATTAGTGTCCTTATAAAGGGACCCAAGAGAGCTCTCTTGTCCCTTTCCTACCATGTGAGGACATACTGAGAAGGTGCAGTCTACAAACTAGGAAGCAAATTCTCATCAGACAGTGAATATGTCAGTGCCTTCATCTTGGACTTCCCAGTCCCTAGAATTGTGAGAAATAAATATTTGTTGCATAAGTCTATATCATTTTCTATAGCCACCTAAACAGATTCAGACGCCTTCTCAGAGTACTTTTTGTTAGATTACAACCTCCTTTCTTCCCAGTATTGTATATCCTCCCTTCTGCCTTATTTTTCTCTATATCACTTATATCCATCTGATATATTAGATACTGTACTGGGATTTAAGCTCCACAAGAATTAGTATTTTAACAAACATTTTCATTACTATATCCTTAGTG